TTAGCACAGTCTTTCCTGTACTGAAGAGGTACACAGTTCACAGGTGAAAAAGCTTACAGGAAGGAGTTTGCATTTCCTGTTGTCATATGGGCATGGCATTTTCTAGGGTGGTCATAGATGAACGTCCCATCTGATTTCAGATTCCCATCCAGCAGATTAACCGAGTGCATAGTATGTCACAGGCTTGGTTCCGTTTGCCTTGGGTTTCTGTGACTGTATTCCCTTATGGTGCATGTTTTCCCTGCTATCTTCTATCCTCCTAGCACCAACAAGGAGCTTCCCCACCAGTTGTTTTTGTAATATATCCTCACAGTGCTAGTGAAGTCCCTCTGTTTGCTATTTCCTGTGTATTCTAGTTGCAATATTGGTTTTATCTTATCTTTGACTACACTTTTTTCCCTACTATGGCTCCTGGTCCCTATGAGTGTCATTATATGTATTCCTTCCTGCGTATATACCCGACTACCTGGACAAAATCTCCAGCTTCCACAATTACTGTTCTCCCAGGACAGCATCCCACTTCCCATTACGTCTCCCAGGACAAGCATCTCCAGCTCACCATAACTGTCTCCCAGGACAGCACCTCCAGCTTCACCTTACTGTCCTCCCAGGACAGCACCTCCAGCTTTCACCATTACGTCTCCCAGGACAGCACTATCACCCCCCATTACTGACTACCGCAGGACATCATCTTCAGCCTTACAGTTTCTGACTTTACATGGCCAGTAATAAGGGCAGTACCATTCAGCCCAGCAGACTTTTTATGTTCCCATCTGTGTAGAAAGCTTCCAGTTTTTCTATGAAAGCAGCTTTGATGTTGACCTCTTTTAAATACCCTTGGTGATTAAGTCGCACAGATTTATCTCATTTGGGCATACCCAAAAACACTTCCCTGTTTTAATACTGCTTGTAGCTAGTTCTTGATATCTGCACAAGGGCGTGACACCAATTTCACAAAAATGACAATTTTAATGCATGTGGAAGCCCGTTTGTTTGTCTGGACACAGACTACACACTAGCTTCTTAGATTTGAATGGTTGATTTACTGCAATTCTACTGGAACCCTCTTGAATATTCTATTAATAACCTGCTTAGTAAGTGCACAACGAAAACCGTTGAAACCAGTCCAGGTCGGACCAGTCAAGGTTCGGACCAGTCTATCTGATCTGATCATGGTCACTTATTTAAAATCATACTAGTTGGTGATTTGAGCTAACACATGAAGGATCTACTGGAAATTATCTACCCGAGTAATATGTGATTTGATTGATACAAAAGTATAACTTGCGTGTTGAAGAGCCGGTGACTGCTGGCAACTCCTACAGTGACGAACTCGACCTCAAACCCTTGTTTATCAATCGCTGTATCTAGCTTTTCTATTTTTTTTTTTCCCGTCTCCACCACAATAAATGCTATATTATCACTATAGGTTACTGAAAGCAGTGAAGAGTTTTTACGAGGATAGTGAGGCTCAAGTTAGAGTATGTAGGAAAGAGGAATTTTTTCCCATAAAAGTATGGCGTAGACAAGGATGTGTGATGTCACCGTGGTTGTTTAATATATTTATAGATGGGGTTGTAAGAGAAGTAAATGCGAGGGTCTTGGCAAGAGGCGTGGAGTTAAAAGATAAAGAATCACACACAAAGTGGGAGTTGTCACAGCTGCTCTTTGCTGATGACACTGTGCTCTTGGGAGATTCTGAAGAGAAGTTGCAGAGATTTGGTGGATGAATTTGGAAGGTGGTGCAAAAGAAGAAAATTAAAGTGAATACAGGAAAGAGTAGTTTATGAGGAATAACAAAAAAGATTAGGTGATGAAAGATTGAATATCAGATTGGGGGAGAGAAGTATGGAGGAGTGAACCGTATTCAGATATTTGGGAGTGGAACGTGTCAGCGATGGGTCTATGAAAGATTGAGGTGAAATCATAGAATTGATGAGGGAAAAAGAGTGAGTGGTGCACTTAGGAGTCTGTGGAACAAAGAACTTTGTCCTTGGAGGCAAAGAGGGGAAGTATAAGTATAGTTTTACCAACGCTCTTATATGGGTGTGAAGCTGGTGATGAATGTTCAGCGGAGAAGGCTGGAGGCAGTGGAGAGTCATGTCTGGGGCAATGTGTGGTTGGTGAATATAATGCAGAGAATTCCGTAGTTTGGAAGTAGGAGGAGTGCGGGATTAACCAAAACTGTTGTCCAAGGGCTGAGGAAGGGTTGTTTGAGGTGGTTCGGACATGTAGAGAGAATGGAGCGAACAGAATGACTTCAGAGTGTATCAGTCTGTAGTGAAGGAAGGCGGGTAGGGTCGGCCTAGGAAGGGTTGGAGGAGGGGGTAAAGGAGGTTTTGTGTGCGAGGGGCTTGGACTTCCAGCAGGCAGCGTGAGCGTGATTGATAGGAGTGAATGGAGACAAAATGCTTTTTAATCATTACGCTGGTCTGTTGGAGTGTGAGCAAAGTAACATTTATGAAGGGATCAGGGAAACCGGCAGGCCGACTTGAGTCCTGGAGATGGGAAGTACAGTGCCTGCACTCTGAAGGAGGGGTGATAATGTTGCATTTAAAAACTGTATTTAAAGCAAAACCTTCTGGCAAGACAGTGATGAGTGAATGATGGTGAAAGTTTTTTCTTTCTTTCGGGCACCCTGCTCTTGGTGGGAATTCGCCCGTGTGATAATAAAAAAATAATAAAAAAATAAAATTATCACTATATTGACTGTGAAATTTTGGAGGAAGAACGCTTTTTTTTGTTCTGTGAGTAATAATTGCTTCTCGTTGTGTATATTGCCGACCGCTGGTAACTACAGGTTATATAAATTCACAGTATATGTCTGTATTTCAAGAAAAAAGTAACTAATTAAAGTCACTCCACTCCACTAAGTACCATTATAATACTGGTTGTTGCTACTACAACACTGGTATTCTGCTTATTCACTGTATCACTAGATTTTATCGAGTACCAGCCAGGCCAGGAAGATTATTAAAAACAGCTGAACGCCTGTGGTAAGTTTCTGGCGACTTCTGGCACCTGCCTAATAGGCTTATCAATTCATTTACAAATTCACCTGTTCAAATGACACTTTAGCCTTTATCTTCAATCTATACTAGGGAGCCACTGTAGTATACACTAAACATTATGTATACTCAATGTTTTTCAGAGACTTTCTTTCCTCTACCCAAAGTTCAATTATTATTATTTTCACACGGGACACAGGCCTATGATTCCCCCTGTCAGTAAACCTGCTATAGTGCACACTAATTCTCCTTTTTTTGGACTCATATATAATGTTTTTTTTTTCACCACTGAATTACTAGTAAAATTTCCTCTTCAAAACCCTCTTCACTGCTCACTTTTCCCTTAACTTCACAAACCCCTTACAATTAACCCCTTATTACACACACCCCTTCCCACCTCACTTCACAGTCTGGCTTCACCAATTAACTTCTAACTCCTTTCCATTCTGGTAGACCAGAAAGGTTTAATCAATGGTTTTATCCTTCCAAAACCCCCTCAATTCCATTTATTGGGGGTTGTGTCGTGTTGTTGTCTCCTGACCTGTTCTGCTGACTCAGCCATTTTTAAAACACTGAGGGGAGTAACGCCTTAATATCCTACCCCCTCAGCAGTGCAAGGGTAACTGAGCAGTGGAGACTGCCTAGAGCTGTCTAGGCACATTTTCAAAAAACTTCCACAAAACTCATAATTTTCCAAGTAAAAAAAAAAAGTTTTTATAGAAATTATAAGTTTTTCTTGGTCAAAACTTGGAAAAATGGTATAAACAAGCTGATTGCATGGGCAGGTGAGGCAAAATGCCCCCGATTAAAAGTAGGGGTGCCATTGGTACACTAAGGGAAAACACCATAAGTGTCTGGAGCCCAAGACTGTTCAACAGCCTCCCATCAAGCATTAGGGGAATTGCCAATAAACCCCTGGCTGCCTGCAAGAGAGAGCTGGACAGATACCTAAAGTCAGTGCCGGATCAGCCGAGCTGTGGCTCGTACGTTGGACTGCGTGCGGCCAGCAGTAACAGCCTAGTTGATCAGGCCCTGATCCATTGGGAGGCCTGGTCATGGACCGGGCCGCGGGGGCATTGATCCCCGGAATAACCTCCAGGTAACCTCCTGGTACGCCGTATCTCTACCAAGCATAAAGATATTGTTTTTTGTTGGGTCCCTGGTCATGTTGACGTACAGGGCAATGAACAGAGACACTGCTGCGCGGTCAGCAGTACAAGATCTACCAGTTTCATATAGAGGTGTTCCATTTACGGACTACTTTGCTGTAATAGCTACCCACCTTCACACCCGTTAGCAACAACGTTGGTCTAATCTACTTGGTAACAAGCTTCATTCTATTAAACCGAGTATAGGTTACTGGCCGTCTTCTTGTCGAGGTTGGGAGACTACTTACTCCTGTCTTTGCATTGGCCACACTCGTCTTACTCATGGTTATCTTGTGGAGAGGCACCCTGTTCTTCTCTGAGACGTGTCAGGTTCCAGTATTGGTTAGCCACATTCTGTTAAGACTGCCCTCTATATCGACGAGCACACAGAATTTACCTCCATCGTCGTCTCCGCTCTACTACTCTCTCTCTACCTTCCCATCTTGCTGATGGACCCTCCTTTAATCCTGACTCTGACTTTTTGACAACTGACTTACTCCACAAACTCTGATGACGATACCTTTCACACTCCCCTCAGCCCTTTCTACCTTAATGTCTTGCTACTCTCTATCATCCCCTGCCCTGCTGTTCTCCGTAACCTACTAATTATCCCTCTCCCTTTTGCCACCTGATACCCTTGTGGTTTAGCGCTTCTTTTTGATTATAATAATGCATCAAAATGTGGCCAGATTTATGCCCTTTCAGTAATTTTTTTTTTTTGGCGAGTATGCCTCACCCCTTCAGGTACCACTGTTTCAGACCCTGCTTATATCTGATTTTATGTATTTCAATCATTCATCTTTTGACCATCTTGTGTTATAGCATTTGTAAAACAAAATACCTCTATAATGAAATTTTTTATTATAATAAAGACTATACATTATATTTCTATATTCCAGGTTATCACATACCTCGGGAAAGCATCCGAATTACAAATGCTTATTTTTGAGGGATTTAGCATGCATACACTGTGAAATGTAGAACAGCCTATTTTTGCACATTCATTCATAAAAGCTAATTACAAAAAAAAAAAATTGCAATATGCAATAAGTTTATCAAGAAAAACTTGTGTAATGAAGAATACACATGAAGTACTGTAATGGAAGGACAAGCCAATCTTTTATTCATAACAGAATACATTTTTAGAAGCACAACAATTTGCTGTTGAATTAGTTAGAGCAACCAATGGAGGTCTGAGTCCTGGCAGGAGCCTCTGTTTGAAAGTGGCAGAGACTGGTTCAGCAAGTTGGACTATTGCCAGCAACTGTTCATTGCCTAGGCACTGCACATAGTAATTCACTGCTGGTTCTTGTTAGTGTACTGGCTTAACTCCCAATATCTAACCTTGGAGTTGTCGTCCTCTGCATGTGATGGAATAATTACTATGAGTGGCTCTTTTGAGCACACTAATCATAGCTTTCTGCCTTGTATAAGGCAGAGGATGACAACTCCAAGGTTAAATATTGGGAATTAAGTCAGTACACTAACAAGAACCAGCAGTGAATTATCATGTGCAGTGCCTAGGATGTAATTTTAATTAACAAGTTTTGTCAGAATGCAGATAGAAAGTGATATTTAGTGACTCGTCAAACTGCAGCCATGATGAAATTAGAGTGTTCAGAAACTTCATAAGTAATAATGATAGTGGCAGTGATGAGAAACTGCATCCCAAATATGGTGATAACTAGTGACATTTCCATGAGGAGCAGTGACAGTTGTAATTAGTGAAGTAGTGTCAGGAGGGATTACAACAGTTATAACATGTGGTATGGCACAATCAGGATACTAACTGGAGAAATGGAACTGATAATGCCTTAGTTATAAATGATTACTCTGAACAGTGTACTCTGTTCTCGCAAAACTGCAATCCATTTTTATTTGTTAACTGCTCAAGGGAAGCATTTTCATGGTGGTGAGAGGATCTTGATCTTAGGAATTAGATCTATTCTACCTTTCCTTGGATCAAACCTAATTATTTCCCATTCCTCCAGGGCTCTTAAGATCCTTATGGGCTTAGTGCTTCTCCCCCATGAATACAATAACTGTTAAAACATCAGACTACTTAGTGTGCATCATTCTATGGCTAAACAAGTGTCTTAGAAAAGTGTGCAACTGCAAGTCCACTCACACATTTCACAACAATGATAGCATTGCCATTTAAGTAATCTTATAAGATACCTATTTCAGTACATTTGTAACCCACATGACTGACAAAATATTTAAACATTAATTTACAATAACAGCTTCCAAATCCTTAATCAGATACATTGCTGGCTACTTAAAATTTTGTGACCATGTTCATTATGCTTAACACTGAGCAAAATGCTAAACATTAAAAAGAAAAAAAAATTGCCAATGGCTGTCATTGGATAAAATAAATTATACATATGTCCTTATATACCACTATGACCCTCGTAGGTTTAGCGGTTCCTTTTTATTATAATCTTTGTATACCAATTTAAAAAAAAAAATCGGTATATAATGCATGAACTACTGATAAAATCTTGTGATATAACTAATTTCTTAAGACATGCACCATTGCTCAGTATTCAAAGCAGTCATTTGTGTAAATACATTTTTGCCAAAAGTCATAAGTTGAACTCAATTAAAAACCACAACTTCAAGCTAATTTACCTAGGCATTCAATTTATGGCACTTCTTAATGAGTATATATATGAATAGAATACAAGTAGTCACTATACACTCTAATTACGATTTATGGAGTTTGTATATTGTAAATTCTCATATTATAATAAACACATGATTTACTGAAACTGACAATAACTATCATGCAATAGTGTTTAAGCTATGATAAAAATATAAGCATAATGCACCATAAACTTGTACACTTATTTTGTGCATGAATTAATGTTATATTCATCCTGCACACAAAATTTCTCTAGTACATACATGTATCTTACTGAAGAATAGTCAATGTCACTGGGAGCAAGTTGACTGTATTAACAAGGTATCCTTAAGTTGAGCCTCGTAGAGTTTAACAATCAAAATTCTTAGAAATGTCTAGGGTGGTTCAACTGCTGCATCAGAATTTAGATTTTGGAAGAGAAACATCCAAACATTAGCTTCAAACAAGTTAGCAATGTCAACTAAGAGCTCTGAAAGTCTTTTAAGCAAAGTATGTGATGTTGTGACAAGTATTGGAAGGATGTTGTATGGGTTATCCTGATTTAAATGGTATTGATAAAAAAAAAATGCACTGAAGACTGGCACAAATGTTTTACATATATCCTTAAGTGCTAAGATTAATATGATTTAAGTATAAATAAAAGCTAAATTTAATATTTATCTTAACCTATGAGGAAGCCTTGTTTAATCAATCTATACCAATACCAGACACCAAATGTGTTTATATCCAGAAAGTACAAAATTAATATGTAAATACATTACAGGTACTAAACCAAAATATCTAAACTAAAAAAAAAAAAAATTTTTTTTTATACAACTATGGTGGTTAAAAACTGCAGAAGAGTATAAAAAATAGCTCAGCCCAGAAATTCTGTATCTTTCACTAACATTCATATGTATTGGTCCAGCATATTTTTTTTTTTTTTTGCTCCTGTCCAACAAAACATTTTTAATTTATATTTTAGCAAAAGGTTATGTAGCTTTACAGATCTGGGATTGAATGATCCATAAACTTAACAAGAGAGCTCGCCATTTGCTTCATCATGTGTTTGTATACAAAGGACGGCATTATGGTGACAGTGACCACCTGGCCACACTCATTGATGATGGCCGAGATTTCCTTGTCCTTCACACCAACTACATTTTGACCATTAACCTGCAACATAAGATAAGCAGTTACTAAAATTCTAGGGACTGAAAAGAAGTATTCTTAGCACTAAACTGTTTATAAGGCCTATGGTAAGAACATTTATTAATTACCCTATGTACAAGAGCAGTTTTTTTTTTCTTTTTAACCAGGGCTGTTTGACCCTGGTGTGCTACAGCCCTGGTTTCCACAAGATTGTCAGTAATTTTGTGCTAGCTTCATCGTCTTAATTAAAACCATAATTTTTTGACTAGTATTTGTTGTATAACTAGGTAGTTAGGTTGGCAGATAGCAACCACCCATATAAAAGTGTTGGTATTGCTATACCCGCGTACATTCTCTTCTTCCCTTCATGGGTAACCTTTTTGTCTCCACAGACACCTCAGAGGACCACTTGCCTTTTTTCCTTCATCAATTCTATGAGTAACTGCATCCTTCATAAACCCATTTGCTGATGAGTTAACTCCCAAATATCTGAACACATTCACTTCTTCCATACTCCCTCCTGCCAATGTGATGCCCAGTTTTTCTTTACCTAAATTGTTTGATACCCTCATCACCTTACTCTCACCTATGTTCACTTTCAACTTTCTTCCTTTACACACCCTCCCAAACTCGTCCACTAACCTTTGCAACCTTTCTTTAGAATCTCCCAAAAGAACAGTATCATCAGCAAAAAGTAACTATCAACTCCCATTTTGTATTTGATTCCCCATAATTTAATCCCACTCCTCTAGCATTTACTTCTTATACAACCCCATCTATATGTTAAACAAGTATGGTGACAAACATCCCTGTCTAAGGCCTACTTTTACTTTTACTAAGCTGAGCCTCACTATCTTCATAAAAACTCTTTACAGCCTTTAGTAACTTACTACCCATTCCATACACTTGCAACATCTGCCACATTGCTTCCCTATCCACCTTGTCATATGTCTTTTTTAAATCCATAAATGCAATAAAAACTTGCCTATCTTTATCTAAATATTGTTCACTTATATGCTTCAATGTAAACACTTGAATTACACATCCCTACCCTTGCTAAAGCCTTGTTCATCTGCAATCCTGCTCTCTGTCTTACTACTAATTCTTTCAATAACCCTACCATACACTTTACCTGGTATACTCGGTAAACTTATTCCCTTATAATTTTTTAGAATCCCTTTTGTCCCTCTTCCCTTTATATTTTTTTTTTTTTATTATCACACCGGCCGATTCCCACCAAGGCAGGGTGGCCCGAAAAAGAAAAACTTTCACCATCATTCACTCCATCACTGTCTTGCCAGAAGGGTGCTTTACACTACAGTTTTTAAACTGCAACATTAACACCCCTCCTTCAGAGTGCAGGCACTGTACTTCCCATCTCCAGGACTCAAGTCCGGCCTGCCGGTTTCCCTGAATCCCTTCATAAATGTTACTTTGCTCACACTCCAACAGCACGTCAAGTATTAAAAACCATTTGTCTCCATTCACTCCTATCAAACACGCTCACGCATGCCTGCTGGAAGTCCAAGCCCCTCGCACACAAAACCTCCTTTACCCCCTCCCTCCAACCCTTCCTAGGCCGACCCCTACCCCGCCTTCCTTCCACTACAGACTGATACACTCTTGAAGTCATTCTGTTTCGCTCCATTCTCTCTACATGTCCGAACCACCTCAACAACCCTTCCCCAGCCCTCTGGACAACAGTTTTGGTAATCCCGCACCTCCTCCTAACTTCCAAACTACGAATTCTCTGCATTATATTCACACCACACATTGCCCTCAGACATGACATCTCCACTGCCTCCAGCCTTCTCCTCGCTGCAACATTCATCACCCACGCTTCACACCCATATAAGAGCGTTGGTTAAAACTATACTCTCATACATTCCCCTCTTTGCCTCCAAGGACAAGGTTCTTTGTCTCCACAGACTCCTAAGTGCACCACTCACTCTTTTTCCCTCATCAATTCTATGATTCACCTCATCTTTCATAGACCCATCCGCTGACACGTCCACTCCCAAATATTGAATACGTTCACCTCCTCCATACTCTCTCCCTCCAATCTGATATTCAATCTTTCATCACCTAATCTTTTTGTTATCCTCATAACCTTACTCTTTCCTGTATTCACCTTTAATTTTCTTCTTTTGCACACCCTACCAAATTCATCCACCAATCTCTGCAACTTCTCTTCAGAATCTCCCAAGAGCACAGTGTCATCAGCAAAGAGCAGCTGTGACAACTCCCACTTTGTGTGTGATTCTTTATCTTTTAACTCCACGCCTCTTGCCAAGACCCTCGCATTTACTTCTCTTACAACCCATCTATAAATATATTAAACAACCACGGTGACATCACACATCCTTGTCTAAGGCCTACTTTTACTGGGAAAAAATTTCCCTCTTTCCTACATACTCTAACTTGAGCCTCACTATCCTCGTAAAAACTCTTCACTGCTTTCAGTAACCTACCTCCTACACCATACACTTGCAACATCTGCCACATTGCCCCTATCCACCCTGTCATACGCCTTTTCCAAATCCATAAATGCCACAAAGACCTCTTTAGCCTTATCTAAATACTGTTCACTTATATGTTTCACTGTAAACACACTGGTCCACACACCCCCTACCTTTCCTAAAGCCTCCTTGTTCATCTGCTATCCTATTCTCCGTCTTACTCTTAATTCTTTCAATTATAACTCTACCATACACTTTACCAGGTACACTCAACAGACTTATCCCCTATAATTTTTGCACTCTCTTTTATCCCTTTGCCTTTATACAAAGGAACTATGCATGCTCTCTGCCAATCCTAGGTACCTTACCCTCTTCCATACATTTATTAAATAATTGCACCAACCACTCCAAAACTATATCCCACACTGCTTTTAACATTTCTATCTTTATCCCATCAATCCCGGCTGCCTTACCCCTTTCATTTTACCTACTGCCTCACGAACTTCCCCCACACTCACAACTGGCTCTTCCTCACTCCTACAAGATGTTATTCCTCCTTGCCCTATACACGAAATCACAGCTTCCCTATCTTCATCAACATTTAACAATTCCTCAAAATATTCCTTCCATCTTCCCAATACCTCTAACTCTCCATTTAATAACTCTCCTCTCCTATTTTTAACTGACAAATCAATTTGTTCTCTAGGCTTTCTTAACTTGTTAATCTCACTCCAAAACTTTTTCTTATTTTCAACAAAATTTGTTGATAACATCTCACCCACTCTCTCATTTGCTCTCTTTTTACATTGCTTCACCACTCTCTTAACCTCTCTCTTTTTCTCCATATACTCTTCCCTCCTTGCATCACTTCTACTTTGTAAAAACTTTACATATGCTAACTTTTTCTCCCTTACTACTCTCTTTACATCATCATTCCACCAATCGCTCCTCTTCCCTCCTGCACCCACTTTCCTGTAACCACAAACTTCTGCTGAACACTCTAACACTACATTTTTAAACCTACCCCATACCTCTTCGACCCCATTGCCTATGCATCTCATTAGCCCATCTATCCTCCAATAGCTGTTTATATCTTACCCTAACTGCCTCCTCTTTTAGTTTATAAACCTTCACCTCTCTCTTCCCTGATGCTTCTATTCTCCTTGTATCCCATCTACCTTTTACTCTCAGTGTAGCTACAACTAGAAAGTGATCTGATATATCTGTGGCCCCTCTATAAACATGTACATCCTGAAGTCTACTCAACAGTCTTTTATCTACCAATACATAATCCAACAAACTACTGTCATTTCGCCCTACATCATATCGTGTATACTTATTTATCCTCTTTTTCTTAAAATATGTATTACCTATAACTAAACCCCTTTCTATACAAAGTTCAATCAAAGGGCTCCCATTATCATTTACACCTGGCACCCCAAACTTACCTACCACACCCTCTCTAAAAGTTTCTCCTACTTTAGCATTCAAGTCCCCTACCACAATTACTCTCTCACTTGGTTCAAAGGCTCCTATACATTCACTTAACATCTCCCAAAATCTCTCTCTCTCCTCTGCATTCCTCTCTTCTCCAGGTGCATACACGCTTATTATGACCCACTTCTCGCATCCAACCTTTACTTTAATCCACATAATTCTTGAATTTACACATTCATATTCTCTTTTCTCCTTCCATAACTGATCATTTAACATTACTGCTACCCCTTCCTTTGCTCTAACTCTCTCAGATACTCCAGATTTAATCCCCTTTATTTCCCCCACTGAAACTCTCCTACCCCCTTCAGCTTTGTTTCGCTTAGGGCCAGGACATCCAACTTCTTTTCATTCAAACATCAGCAATCATCTGTTTCTTGTCATCCACACTACATCCACGCACATTTAAGCAACCCAGTTTTATAAAGTTTTTTCTTCTTTCTTTTTTAGTAATTGTATACAGGAGAAGGGGTTACTAGCCCATTGCTCCCGGCATTTTAGTCGCCTCATACGACACGCATGGCTTACGGAGGAAAGATTCTTTTCCACTTCCCCATGGACAATAGAAGAAATAAAAAAGAACAAGAGCTATTTAGATAAAGGAGAAAAACCTAGATGTATGTATATATATATATGCATGTGCGTGTCTGTGAAGTGTGACCAAAGTGTAAGTAGGAGTAGCAAGATATCCCTGTTATCTTAGCGTGTTTATGAGACAGAAAAAGAAACCAGCAATCCTACCATCATGCAAAACAGTTACAGGTTTTTGTTTCACAGTCATCTGGCAGGACGGTAGTACTTCCCTGGGTGGTTGCTGTCTACCAACCTACTACCTCTTCTACACACACTGCCAATCTTTGGGTACCATTCCCTCTTTCATACATTTATTGAACAAAAGTACCAACCACTCCAAAACTATATCCTCCCTCTTGTTTTTAACACCTGTGATGATCCTGTCAGTTCCAGCTGCTTTAATCCCTGTCATTTTACCTAATGCACCACACACCTCCCCCAGACTCACATCCAGCTCTTCTTCACTCCTACAAGATGTTACACTCCCCCCCCCCCCCAGCCAATGCATGATATTACTGCCTCCCTCTCTTCATCATCATTTAACAGTTCCTCAAAATATTCTCACCATTTTCCCAATACCTCCAACTCCCCATCTACTAAATCTCCTATTCTGTTTATAACTGTCAAATTCATTCATTCCCTAGGCTTTCTTAACCTATTTATCTTGCTCCTATTGATAAAGGTAGGTATATAACCAAATTACAGACTTGCATCAGCATCTACTCACTTCAAGCAGATAGTGGTCTATGAGGAGCCCATTTCGTGCAGCTGAAGAGTCCTTAACTAAAGCAGTCACTTCACCATCACGGAACTGGAATCCAATGTGGCCTGTGCTATCCTTGTGAAGAGTTATCGTTCGTTCAAATGGCCTGAAAAGAAAACCGATGTTATTTATAAAAGTCTAAAATAGAAATTCAAACATTAAAAAATATCAGAAATTATAGCCTATATTTAAAGAAAAATTTCTCCCATCAATCTCCATACTCAGGAACAGTCAGGAAGAGGAGTGAACTGAGCTGTACAGTAATGCAATGGCAGCTAGCTATAATCAAGGATTAAAAATAACAAAAAAGTACTGTACGTTTTCCACAGTCAGTTGAATGTGGAATCAAAAGCTTGAAGCTCACCCCTTTCCCCTGCAATCTCAAGTCAGGACAAGTGCTATGTAATGAAAATGGAAGTGATAACAGACCACATGAATACATGTGTGTTATACAATACTGATAATGTCATGTCAGACAGTGATAACCATATGTAAGGTTATGTCAGGAGGGAAGAAAATTTTCTTGGCACCATAAACTGGAAAAAAGAAGCCACTATTGTTAACTAAGAAAACAGCAGAACCAAAAGAACACTACGAAAACAACGAAATGGGATCCAGAAGGAAATAAGTGCTACAACCGCTGGAAATGCTTAAACTATCTGATGTGTATGAGGGAAGGACACTAAAATAGTTTACCTCACCCTCAATTCTCTCAGGCTATTACCAATATAAAAAGACTGGGGGTGGGGGTTATACTCTACCATACTTGATAAACGACATGGAGTTGAAGGTATTGGGAAGATGGCGGGAATATTATGAGAAGCTGTTAAATGTTGATGAAGAAAGGGAAGCAATGATTTCATGCATTGGCCTTGGAGGCACAACATCCTTTAGGAGTGAGGAAGAGCCAGATGTGCGAGTGGTAGTGGTGGTAAAGCAGCTGGGATTGATGGGATCACGACAAATGTTAAAAGCAGGTGGGGATATATTTCTGGAGTGGTTGGCACTTTTGTTCAATTAATGTATGAAAGAGGGGAAGGTACTTAACAACTGGCAATGTGTGTGCATAGTTCCTTTGTATAAAGGAAAAGGGGACAAGAGAGTAAAAATTACATGGGAATAAGCCTGAATATAAATAAGAACATAAAAGAGCACAGCAGAAAGCCTTCTGGCTCGTGTGTGGCAGGTCCAAATCACACCCACTTAAGGAAGATGAAATGTATGGTAGTTATTGTTGAAAGAATTATGGGTAAGATAGAGAGCAGGGTCACAGATGAACAAGGAGGCTTTAGAAAGGTAAGGAATATGTAGACCAAGTGTTTACAATGAAGCATATAATTGAACAATATTTAGATAAAGGTAAGGAAGTTGCTTTCATGGATTTGGAAAAGGAATATGATAGAGTGGATTGGGGAGCAATGTGACAATGTTGCAAGTGAATAGAATAGATGGTAGGTTACTGAATGCTGTTAAGTGTTTTTATGAGGATAGCAAGGCTCAGGTTACGTAGGTATGGGAAAAGGAGGTCATTTTCCAGTAAAAGTAGTCCTTAAACACGGATGTGTGACGTCGCCATGGTTGTTTAACACTTGTATTTACAGACAGGGTTGTAAAAAAAGTAAATGCTAGGGTACAAGGAAGACGTGGACTAAAATATGTATGTGCAATCTAATACAAAATGGGAACTGTCACAGTTACTTTTTTCTGATGACACTGCTTTTGGGAGATTCTGAACATAAGCTGCAAAGGATGGAGGACAAATTTGGGAGGTTATGTAATTAAAAGTGAAATTAAGGAAATTACAAGTGAACATAGAAAAGAGCAAGGTGATGAGGGTAACAAACAAAGGAGGGAGTATGGAGGAAGTGAACATGATTAGATATTTGAGAGTGGATTTGTTGGCAGATGGGTATATTAAAGAAGAGGTAAACCACTGAACTGACAAAGGAAAAAGGTGTGCGGTGCACTGAGGCATCTGTGGAGCCATGGAGTCAAAGAGGAAATGTATGAGTATAGTGGTACCAACACTCTTATATAGGTGTGAGGGCAATGTGTGCATAAATATTATATAGAGAATTCATAGCTTGGATATTAGGTGGTGTGGAGTTACTAAAAGTTAGGTCAGACACGTCACTTAAGGGAGGAGCACTGCATCCGACAAAGTAGCACGAGCTAGTCAGGTCCAACTCACATCCACCCACACCCACTCACGTATTTATCCAACCTATTTTTAACCCTTTGACTGTTGCAACCCCAAATCCTGAGGTGTCTTCTGGTGTCACAAAATATTTGGAAAAAAAAAAAAAAATTATATATATATATATTCCTTATGAAATGATAGAATATTTTCCCCATGGTAATGACACCAAAAGTACGAAATTTGATGGAAAACTTACGGAATTACGCTCTCGTGAAGTTAGCGACCTTGGCAATATTTACGAATCGGCGATTTCGCCCACTTTGAGCCCTATTTTCGGCTAATTCCATTGTTCCAGTCGACCAAACTCATAGCTATTTCTTTAGGACTATTTGTTCTATCAACTGAGTACAAGAAACTGCCCATTTACCAATTTCAACTACCCAATAAAGTGGTCAGAAATTGGCAATTTGGCCAATTTCATGCAAATTAAAAAAATATGACAATTTCAGAATAGGGTCCAGAATGAACAATGCAGACATTCCTGCCTCTAAAATAACATTTTCTTTGTTTATCAGTCACGTCACCAAGCCCCTCTGATATTACTCTCGCTTTCTATTTTGAATTTTTATTCAAACAAAAAATAGAAGAGTTACTGTTATGCAGACTACTGCAATACTGTAATAATTGTATAAATAATGTCAACCCATTCATGACTGCATATTAGAATGGCTAGTGGGACATTTATTGGACAATGACATCATTTGTTTACTCTTGAACATTGGCAAAAATCAAACATTTCCCCTACTTTGAGCTCCATTTCAAGGTCCTTTTCATAGTAAAACCAATCAAAATCACATGCATTTCTATAATGTTTTCCATTCTATCAAATGTGACTACGAAAGCGCAAATATAACCATAAAAACTACGAAAATACACCTCAAAGTCGGCGTTTTAATCCAAAAACATGGTCAGTTTTCTTTTCTCATTATGCACTGCTTGCTGCAGGATTTTTTTAATACTGCGCACACTGGCCACACAGACCCATTCTCTCACATGTGGGCCTACCAGCTTTGTCCCGCTTAATTTTAAGCCGCTAGAATTTTTGAGTATGTATACATCAAACATACTGGCTCGTAAGACATATATATACAACCGATTACTGCTAACCAGAACTCCTAAATCCTTTTCGCAATCTGTAATATTAAGATCTACATTATTTAGTTTATATGTAGCATGGTTATTTTCCTGTCCAACATTTAGAACTTTGCATTTGTCTATATTAAACTGCATCTGCCACTTCTCCGACCACTGCATCAGTCTATTCAAATCATCCTGGAGTGCTCTAATGACCTCATTAGAATGAATTGGACAGCCTATTTTGGTGTCATCAGCAAATTTGCTGATGTCACTATTTATTCCCTCATCTATATCGTTTATGTAGATTGTGAACAACAAGGGGCCCGACACTGACTCCTGTGGAACCCCGCTTGTGATATGCCCCCATTCTGATTTCTCCCCATTTATGCAAACTCTCTGCTGCCTATTTGTCAACCATGCCTCTACCCAGGAAAAAATTTCTCCTCCTATTCCGTGTGCCTTAAGTTTTCTCAATAGCCTCTGATGTGGAACTCTACTGAAGCCTTACTGAAGTCCATATACACAATATCATTCAATACCATGGATCTACCTCCTCAAATACCTTAGTGAAGAAAGTAAATTCGTAAGACAGGAACACCCCTTTGTAAAACTGTTGTGATTCATTAATCAATTTACGCCTTTCAAGATGGCTACGAATTGCTTCAGCAATTATCGATTCCATAAATTTTCCCACTAGGGAGGTAAGGCTTATTGGTCTATAGTTCGAAGCTAAGGACCTGTCACCTGCCTTGTAAATAGGTAATACATTTGCCGTTTTCCATTTATCAGGCATTATCCTAGTTTGTAGTGGTATGCTGAAAAGATTAGCCAAAGGTATGCTAAGTTCCTGTTTTCATTCCTGTAACACCCTTGCAAACAGTTCATCAGCGCCTGGGGACTTGTTAGGTTTTAATTTCTCTATTTGTCTGAGAACCATATCACTAGTTACCACAATCGTGCATAGTTTATTATCGTCCTGTTCTACATAATCTATTATTTCTGGAATTTCGCTAGTATTTTCCTGGGTAAAAACCGAGAGGAAGTAAGTACTGAAAATTTCACACACATCCTTATCACTGTCAGTGATCTGACCTGAGTTACTCTTAAGTGGGCCTATCTTGCCCCTAATCTTACTTCTGTATACCTGAAAGAACCCTTTTGGGTTAGTCTTCGAATCCCTTGTGACCTTAGCTTCATAATCCCTTTTTGCTTCTCTTATTCCTTTTTTTCTCTCTCTTTAATTGAATATATTAATTTCTTAACTGCCCATCCTCTCTTTCGATACACCTATACATGCCTCTCTTTTGACCAATGAGATGTTTTAATCTGCTGTTCACCCATCACCAGCTAAGAGATATACCAGCTTGGGGAAACAGATGGCAAGTAACATTTGACCTGAGAAAACACAAATGATGATGGTCTCTAGGCACCATAATGGTAATGCCGGTGCAGTAGTATGTATGAATGGGAGGGTGTTGGTACCTGGGGAAGAAGTTGATATCCTTGGGGTGAAATTTGACTCCAAACTGACCATGAAGAACCACGTTGTAAATCCTGCAAACAAGGCAGCCAGAAAGCTTACAGCACTTCACTGTATCTCGCATCTGCTTGACAGAAGGGGTTGCAATATTCTGTATGAGGCACAAGTATGCTCACACCTTGAGTATGCTCCACTTTCTTGGTTTGCCTCTCATCTGTGACTGCTTGACAGAGTAGAAAACAGAGCAAGATGTCTCATCTCTTGCTGGACCCATCCTGGATAGATCTGTCATTTCAGCAGAGCCTTCAACACAGGAGGGATGTGGGTGGCTTTACTGTTATGTACAAGG